GCCCCTCAGGCCCCTGGGGGCTTAGGACTAAACCGGCAACTATTTTTGTTGACCTTTGTCCATGGAAGGTCCCTGCAAAATTTCATTGAAATTGGTTCAGGGGTTTTGGAGAAGAAGTCGAAAATGTAAATTGTTTACGGACGGACGACGACGGACAAAAGGCGATCGCAATAGGTCACTTGAGACTTTGTCTCAGGTGACCTAAAAAAACTGCCTGTGAGTCCAACTCTATAAATAGACCACCTGTGTTTAGTGATCAAATTTAATGAACCCTGGCCCTGCTTGCACTAAAAAGGTTTTTGGAGCGGAAGTATTAAAAGGCATAACTAAAGGAATAATAGTCAAATTAGAATTCCTTTCTTCCTAATGAGGAGGTTTCTGGAGCCGAAGTTGAAAGTTACAAGGGCCATAACTCAAGGAAAAGCTGGCAAATTTCAAATTCCTTTCTTCCTGCAAATCTACATACAATGTACTTTCACTGTGTCAAGTCAAAAAAAAAATCCAACACACAGTATAGGAGGAATTGCACTTACAAGGATCATGGATGGACAAACAGGGTGATACTAATACTACCCCCCCTCCCCCTCCAAACTTTGTTTGCATTGGATATAAAAGTCATCATTGTAGTCATTTTCATGTTAACCTTTATTAAGTGTCCACCTTTATCAAATGACCACCTGTATCAAGTGACCACCTGTATTAAGTGACCACCTGTATTAAGTGACTTCCTGCAATAACAGACTGATATATAAGCTTCCAATGGTTTTTCTTTTAGAAAAGTTATCATTGAATTTGCCATCAGGATAAATGTTCAGCATTAGGAAGAGTGGCCAAGCGAAACACAACATCTTACAGTATCCCAGCATATGAAGTTTGATGTGTTCAGTCCAAGAAATGTTTATTTCTATCAACAGCACAAAATTCAGCTTTCAAAATCAATTGCAGCTATCTACATTGAAGGAAGACTCTATTTCACTTACCCTGACAATGCCATTGGGATTCACATCAAAAACAACCCCTATGTTTGTAGGACCTCCATCCTGGTGGCCATAAGACCAGTCTTTGTCTGCAATAGCCAATGAGTATAGTTAAGATATAAGGATTCATGAACAATCCATTATAAGGTTAAAGTGCATGTGTATGCATGTATTTAAAGATTAAAATGCATCTTTTTAACATTCATGATGGTACAAGTATATGCAATACAGATTCGTACAAAATATATTCCATAATGTGCATCATAGTATATCACGGAGAATATTTCTGAATAGAACTCTTTTTGCATACCATCAAAAATGTAAAAATACGATTTCAATTATAAATGTTCAACACAGCAAAAAATGTATTTCATCTGAATTAATTTGTTAATTTACACTTGCTAGAAACAATAAATTAATCTGTAAAGCTTACAATATTATGTATGTAATACTATTCAATTATAGCCTTTGGCTGAGGTCGATAAATCCAGGTATTGATCGAAGTTAAAGGCTACAATTGTTTTATAATTTTATAAAACAGTAATGTAAGCAATCTGAAAAAGAACACAACAAAAAGCTTCAGAAGTGGGACGGTGCATTGTTTGGAGACACGTCTTAATTCTATTTTTAGAAACACCCAGTCCTTCAACAAAAATCATGCGCTCCAAGTCAATAACGTTTTTTTATCGGTGGACACCTGATGCATTCCTGGCCAATCACTTGTCGGGAATAATATGAGAAAATAATAAGTGCATTTATCACACACCTGCTGCTTTATGCCATGTCATATTTTTGTCATTTGTAACTAGTGCTATATGACCCTTCTACGGTGGCTAATTTGCCCAGAGCAATGCAAATAAAAAGTTACTAAATCTTGTCTATTCTGGGCAAAATAACGAAATGACACAACTCAGCCACTGTACCCTTCAATTAGGACAATAAACATCAGGCCACAGATTCCAAGATGGCGTCATTGATATCTTGAAAATGGTCACTCTTGTTTATACGATTAAAAATGTTCTCAATTTGTTTCCATTTTGAAGAAAATTTATGAAACTCATCCCCAATGGAAAATGCATTTAAGATGTTAAATATACACAATACATTGATACTGACCTCTACAAACGAGACATCCTGCACCAATCAGCTCGTCCTGACTAAGAATACGTGGTTCCTGGGTCAATGTCAGGTCATATTTGTCATCTGCTCCATATCTGTACCGTCCCTTCACATTATTTAGGTCCCACTGGACGACCAAATAACCTTAATTCAAATCGTGAACAATTGAGTCATGCATACATGTAGTTGTCATGTCAGTCTTGCTGTTGAACTGATGACTACGATAATGTAAAATATGTGTATTTATTAGGTTGCCTAACAAGCGTCAGCTGTAGGAAATTTCCCTTTAGCTCAGCAGTAGAGCATCGGGCTGGAGAGCCAAGGGTCGCGGGTTTGAGCCCCAGCGACGGCACTATACAATCACACTGCCATTGTTTATCATAAAAGTCTACTCACGAAAACTGAAATCTGAATACTGTAAAAGTACTTACTTTAGCAGAATCAAATTGTAGCATTCCATTATAACATGAAATGCTCGCCATGAACGTGATAATGTTCATGGTTTTCATGGTTGTTATGGAACCATAAAAAATAACAAGTGCTCGTCTATGATTCTAAGAGAGATCACTAAGCTATTCGTAACGGCATGATACACACCTATATAAATGTACCAAATTTGATATGAAATTGTAAATATCTTAATTTTGACCAATTAGAGACCATCTTAGATGTACAGCTGTGAAATAAATAGCTTTTAACACATCTACGCATGCCCTCCAATACTCATGTGAGGTTTCATTGGAATCTGTCTTATAGTTTCCAAGAAAATGGTGGACCACGACCGTGGCAACCACCGTTGATGGGCAGCTGCATTGAAAAAGTACTTTGCACATCTAGTAAGCGGCCTAGTTCTCAAGCCACAATTCATCATAATCCAACTTGTGGTTTCTGAAAATCCACAGAGACATGCTTACAGAGGAGGAAAGAGGAAAGAAGAAGAACAAATGTTAAAAGTAAAACCAAAGAAGTCTCCAAAATACATTTTTGTGACTTAAATTGGAGGAATTTATAAGATACACTTGATTCATTTTTGTTCATGCGGGATATCCATAAAAGTTTGTGCTACAAAACAGATTTGTGCATTGAAGAATTTGGGCAACCCAAGACACATATGCCATACGTAACTACCCTTATATACAGAAACTTCAATGAGCACAATCATTAATTCATGCAATATCTAAATTATGCAGAAAGTGCTAAGATTAGAGTACTGCTAAAATATGTATATTTACAGAATCTGATACAGAGACATTGGGAGGCAATCTTTAATTTTCGTAACTACTTCCTATTATTAAAACCTGACAATAAAAGTAATGATGAGTATACTTGATTTCTTTACAAATGCTATGTGTGACTTTAAAAGGACCAGCTTGCCAAGACAAGTCTAGTTTAGTCATACTACAGTGCAATAGAACAAGAGGCCCAAGGGCCTTAGCGGTCACCTGAGTTATATCATAGATACTGGTAGCTTTATTTTATTGTTTAGATGTGATGTGGAAATCAGCATGTAAACTAAGTGAAATACAATACTTGTCATGTCATCAATGGATAAGAATTTGAAAATATTGGTAAATGTTCCCTTTGGGGCCCCGCCCTAGCCCCTGGGGATGGGGCAGGAATCCTAATTTTACAAAGTAAAACTCTCATTTACCCAAGATGATTCTGACTAAGTTTGAGCAATTTTCTGCTGAAAATGGATAAAATATATACCGAAAAGTGTTATTTCCCTATATAAACTATATTAAACGTTAACCCCTCCCCAAGGGAGAACGGATAGCTCGGGGTCCTGATATTTTCAATTTAAATAAAGCCCCTGATGATCTTTCTTTCCACGTAAAGAAAATCACTGTAGTACCTCTGAGTCTGGAGAAGAAGATTTTTGAAATATTGATTAATTTTCCCTTTGGGGCCCCGCCCTGGCCCCAGGGGTCGGGGTAGGAATCTCAATTTTACAATTTGAAACCATCTACCTCCAAGGATAATTCTCACCAAGTAAAAATAATTTCCTACAGAAAGTTGTCAAAATATACCCAAAAGTGTTATTTCCCTATATAAACTATAGTAAACTTTACCCCCTCCCCAAGGGAGAACGGATAGCTCGGGGGTCCTGAAATTTACAATTTAAGTAAAGCCCCTGATGATCTTTCTTTCCACGTAGAGAAAATCACTGTAGTACCTGTGAGTCTGGAGAAGAAGATTTTTGAAATATTGGATAATTTTCCCTTTGGGGCCCCGCCCTGGCCCCAGGGGTGGGGGTAGGAATCCCAATTTTACAATTTTGAAGCCTCATCTACCAAGGATGATTCTGACCAAGTTTGAAAAAAATCCATCCACTGGTTCTTGAGAAGAAGTTGAAAATGTAAAAGTTTACGCACGACGCACGACACACGACGGACGACGACGGACGAAAAGCGATTGGAATAGGTCACTTGAGCAAAGCTCAGGTGACCTAAAAATGGCAGGTTATCATAATATCCTGGTGTCACCCTGGTTAAATACTAGCTGCTCCTTACTGACTCGGCTAGGGAGAATTTCTCTTTAGCTCATTCGGTAGAGTGTTAGACTAGTGAGCCAGAGGTCCATGGGTTCGACTCCTAGTGGAGGGATTGAAAAAGATAATGACCACTGTTACACTGGTCTTCTGGCATAATCATACAACTCATTTTTCTTTACCTCTTAATTAGACAATTAATGACGCTTAATTTCTGACGACTGGCAATCACCTATATTGTTGCAGTGACTGGTGATAGTTCCTGGCCCACCAAGGTCCTGGTCACCCCAAACCCAGTCCTTGCCACGCCTGACCCGTGCTCCCATCAAGGGCATTCTAGGGTCAAGTATTTCCTCCTGTGTCGTACAGCTACTAAAACTGTCCGTCTCAAGTAGGATCAGCATCATGTCCTCCTGTTAGGGAGGTAAATACAATAGCTTTTGGTTAAAGTATAGGCGGTTAACACAACAGCTACTGATTGAGTTCAGGGAGGAAAAAACACAAGGTAAGGGAGGTAAATACAATAGCTATTGATTGAAGTACAGGAAGTTATTACACAACAGGCATTGATTGAGGTCAGGGAGGAAAAATAAAGTTAAGGGAGGTAAATACAATAGCTATTTGTTAATTTAACGTATAGGAGGTTAACACAACAGCTATTGATTAAGGTCAGGGAGGAAAACACAAGGTAAGGGTGGTAAATACAATAGCTATTGATCAAAGTATAGGAGGTCAGGTTGAGGTCAGGGAGGAAAAACAAGTTAAGGGAGGAAAATACAATAGCTATTTGTTAATTTAACGTATAAAAGGTTAACACAACAGTCATTGATTAAGGTCAGGGAGGAAAACACAAGGTAAGGGAGGTAAATACAATAGCTATTGAATGAAGTATAGGAGGTTAACACAATAGCCATTGATTAAGGTCAGGGAGGAAATCACAAGGTAAGGGAGGTAAATACAATAGCTATTGGTTAAAGTATAGGAGGTTAACACAACAGCTACTGATTGAGTTCAGGGAGGTAAATACAATAGCTATTGATTGAAGTACATGAGGTTATTACACAACAGGCATTGATTGAGGTCAGGGAGGAAAAACAAGTTAAGGGAGGAAAATACAATAGCTATTTGTTAATTTAATGTACAGGAGGTTAACACAACAGTCATTGATTAATGTCAGGGAGGAAAACACAAGGTAAGGGAGGTAAATAAAATAGCTATTGAATGAAGTATAGGAGGTTAACACAATAGCCATTGATTAAGGTCAGGGAGGAAATCACAAGGTAAGGGAGAGAAATACAATAGCTATTGGTTAAAGTATAGGAGGTTAACACAACAGCTACTGATTGAGTTCAGGGAGGAAAAAACACAAGGTAAGGGAGGAAAATACAATAGCTATTGATTGAAGTACAGGAAGTTATTACACAACAGGCATTGATTGAGGTCAGGGAGGAAAAATAAAGTTAAGGGAGGTAAATACAATAGCTACGGAATGAAGTATAGGAGGTTAACACAATAGCCATTGATTAAGGTCAGGGAGGAAATCACAAGGTAAGGGAGGTAAATACAATAGCTATTGATTAAAGTTTGGGACATAAACACAACTGCTATTAGCTACAACAATAAATTAGCAAGAATAGTTCAACTTGCTGACAGCACCAGCATTTGGAATAGCAATTGTAACAAACAATTAGAAAATAGTCCAAAGAACAATAGAAGCGATACAAGAATAGGCTGATCAGTGGGGGCTTCAAAATTTTGAAAGAAAGAACAGTAGCTATGTCATTCTCAAGGATAGCAAAAGAACCAACACTATACCTAGGTGATAAACAAATCCTACTTGTACAGCAATCAACATATCTTGGGATGATTATATTTTTAATAGATGAAATTTTCCCTAACCCCACTCTGCCTTGGTTATTAGAATATCCTCAATTAATTCAGAAATATTTGACAATACTAACAGGAAGGATACATAATAGGGGCTAAAGCGATAGCTTTGTGTACAATAAATGATAAATACAGTAAACAAGCAAAATATTAAACTGACGCCTTAAAAAATCCAAAAAACAAACAGGGTAGAGCTAGGCTAAATAAATTCTGATTTAGGTTAGGAAGGTTATCACAACTGCCAATGCTTGATGTAAGGGGCGATTAACACAACAGCTGTTTAATGAGGTAAGGGATGCCAACACCATAGCCATAAGAATGCGGTAAGGGAGGCCAACACCATAGCCATAAGACTGAGGTAAAAGAGGTCAACACCACAGCCATAAGACTGAAATAAAGGAGGCCAACACCATAGCCATTAGACTGAGGTAAGGGAGGCCATCACCATAGTCATTAGACTGAGGTAAAGGAGGCCAACACCATAGTCATAAGACTGAGGTAAGGGAGGCCAACATCATAGCCATTAGACTGAGGTATGGGGGGCCAACACCACAGCCATAAGACTGAGGTAAGAGAGGCCAACACCATAGCCATTAGACTGAGGTAAGAGAGGCCAACACCATAGCCATTAGACTGAGGTAAGAGAGGCCAACACCATAGCCATTAGACTGAGGTAAGGGAGGCCAACACCATAGCCATTAGACTGAGGTAAGAGAGGCCAACACCATAGCCATTAGACTGAGGTACGGGAGGCCAACACCATAGCCATTAGACTGAGGTAAGAGAGGCCAACACCATAGCCATTAGACTGAGGTAAGGGAGGCCAACACCATAGCCATTAGACTGAGGTAAGGGAGGCCAACACCATAGCCATTAGACTGAGGTAAGGGAGGCCAACACCATAGCCATTAGACTGAGGTAAGGGAGGCCAACACCATAGCCATTAGACTGAGGTAAGGGAGGCCAACACCATAGCCATTAGACTGAGGTAAGGGAGGCCAACACCATAGCCATTAGACTGAGGTAAGGGAGGCCAACACCATAGCCATTAGACTGAGGTAAGGGAGGCCAACACCATAGCCATTAGACTGAGGTAAGGGAGGCCAACACCATAGCCATTAGACTGAGGTAAGGGAGGCCAACACCATAGCCATTAGACTGAGGTAAGGGAGGCCAACACCATAGCCATTAGACTGAGGTAAGGGAGGCCAACACCATAGCCATTAGACTGAGGTAAGGGAGGCCAACACCATAGCCATTAGACTGAGGTAAGGGAGGCCAACACCATAGCCATTAGACTGAGGTAAGGGAGGCCAACACCATAGCCATTAGACTGAGGTAAGGGAGGCCAACACCATAGCCATTAGACTGAGGTAAGGGAGGCCAACACCATAGTCATAAGACTGAGGTAAGGGAGGCCAACACCATAGCCATTAGACTGAGGTAAGGGAGGCCAACACCATAGCCATTAGACTGAGGTAAGGGAGGCCAACACCATAGCCATTAGACTGAGGTAAGGGAGGCCAACACCATAGCCATTAGACTGAGGTAAGGGAGGCCAACACCATAGCCATTAGACTGAGGTAAGGGAGGCCAACACCATAGCCATTAGACTGAGGTAAGGGAGGCCAACACCATAGCCATTAGACTGAGGTAAGGGAGGCCAACACCATAGCCATTAGACTGAGGTAAGGGAGGCCAACACCATAGCCATTAGACTGAGGTAAGGGAGGCCAACACCATAGCCATTAGACTGAGGTAAGGGAGGCCAACACCATAGCCATTAGACTGAGGTAAGGGAGGCCAACACCATAGCCATTAGACTGAGGTAAGGGAGGCCAACACCATAGCCATTAGACTGAGGTAAGGGAGGCCAACACCATAGCCATTAGACTGAGGTAAGGGAGGCCAACACCATAGCCATTAGACTGAGGTAAGGGAGGCCAACACCATAGCCATTAGACTGAGGTAAGGGAGGCCAACACCATAGCCATTAGACTGAGGTAAGGGAGGCCAACACCATAGCCATTAGACTGAGGTAAGGGAGGCCAACACCATAGCCATTAGACTGAGGTAAGGGAGGCCAACACCATAGCCATTAGACTGAGGTAAGGGAGGCCAACACCATAGTCATAAGACTGAGGTAAGGGAGGCCAACACCATAGCCATTAGACTGAGGTAAGGGAGGCCAACACCATAGCCATTAGACTGAGGTAAGGGAGGCCAACACCATAGCCATTAGACTGAGGTAAGGGAGGCCAACACCATAGCCATTAGACTGAGGTAAGGGAGGCCAACACCATAGCCATTAGACTGAGGTAAGGGAGGCCAACACCATAGCCATTAGACTGAGGTAAGGGAGGCCAACACCATAGCCATTAGACTGAGGTAAGGGAGGCCAACACCATAGCCATTAGACTGAGGTAAGGGAGGCCAACACCATAGCCATTAGACTGAGGTAAGGGAGGCCAACACCATAGCCATTAGACTGAGGTAAGGGAGGCCAACACCATAGCCATTAGACTGAGGTAAGGGAGGCCAACACCATAGCCATTAGACTGAGGTAAGGGAGGCCAACACCATAGCCATTAGACTGAGGTAAGGGAGGCCAACACCATAGCCATTAGACTGAGGTAAGGGAGGCCAACACCATAGCCATTAGACTGAGGTAAGGGAGGCCAACACCATAGTCATTAGACTGAGGTAAGGGAGGCCAACACCATAGCCATTAGACTGAGGTAAGGGAGGCCAACACCATAGCCATTAGACTGAGGTAAGGGAGGCCAACACCATAGCCATTAGACTGAGGTAAGGGAGGCCAACACCATAGCCATTAGACTGAGGTAAGGGAGGCCAACACCATAGCCATTAGACTGAGGTAAGGGAGGCCAACACCATAGCCATTAGACTGAGGTAAGGGAGGCCAACACCATAGCCATTAGACTGAGGTAAGGGAGGCCAACACCATAGCCATTAGACTGAGGTAAGGGAGGCCAACACCATAGCCATTAGACTGAGGTAAGGGAGGCCAACACCATAGCCATTAGACTGAGGTAAGGGAGGCCAACACCATAGCCATTAGACTGAGGTAAGGGAGGCCAACACCATAGCCATTAGACTGAGGTAAGGGAGGCCAACACCATAGTCATTAGACTGAGGTAAGGGAGGCCAACACCATAGCCATTAGACTGAGGTAAGGGAGGCCAACACCATAGCCATTAGACTGAGGTAAGGGAGGCCAACACCATAGCCATTAGACTGAGGTAAGGGAGGCCAACACCATAGCCATTAGACTGAGGTAAGGGAGGCCAACACCATAGCCATTAGACTGAGGTAAGGGAGGCCAACACCATAGCCATTAGACTGAGGTATGGGAGGCGAACACCACAGCCATTAGACTGAGGTAAGGGAGGCCAACACCATGGCCATTAGACTGAGGTATGGGAGGCGAACACCACAGCCATTAGACTGAGGTAAGGGAGGCTAACAACATAGCCATTAGACTGAGGTAAGGGAGGCCAACACCAAAGCCATGAGACTGAGGTATGGGAGGCCAACACCATAGTCATTAGACTGCGGTAAGCGAGGCCAACACCATAGCCATTAGACTGAGGTAAGGGAGGCCAACACCATAGTCATTAGACTGCGGTAAGCGAGGCCAACACCATAGCCATTAGACTGAGGTATGGGAGGCCAACACCATAGCCATAAGACTGAGGTAAGAGAGGCCAACACCATGGCCATTAGACTGAGGTAAGGGAGGCCAACACCATAGTCATTAGACTGAGGTAAGGGAGGTTGACAAAATAACCATTGATTAAATTTGGGAGATGATGGGTGTGTTCTTTGATCATCCAGTCGAATGACTTACAGAAAAGTGAAAACTGAATGAATATTTGTTAATTGTACTATAAACATTGTTAGATTAATCAGATACAGGCAGAATTATATCTTTTTTGAGAACGTCATATTGAACATTAGACACAGACTATCTGACAACCTACAATGTCTGAGTCACTGACATCAACCAGCATGCTGCGGGCCAGGTTAGCAAACGCCTGGGAATCCTTGGTAGTTAGGTCATGTTTACGCTTCATGGATGTCACCTCAGTCTGAAATGAAAAAAGAAAGCACAGCTGATTTGAAAGGTATGAATGAGCATCACGACAAATAAAGTACCAACATTCATCAGCTCCTTACTTCAGATTTCTAAAGCTTAAAATATCAAAGTACCCCATAGCACTGTGGACCACAATGGAATCATCAAGATAAATGGATGGTAAAGTCTACTAAAGTTACCTAGGGGTGAAAGGGTTAATAGGCAAATTTAACAGTTTTAATGACATACTACTTATTTTGATTTCTTTGAAAAACTTTCCTACTATAATGACCTGTAATTAGCAGGCTTGACCTGCATTTGACCATCTTTGACCTTCATTTCATAATTTAAATCTTATGGTATGACAAGATAATAACAATACCAGGTTTTTGAAGTATCGGCCTATTTTATGGATTTCACCCTGTGACCTCATATGACCTCCAGATTTTGAAGCAATCTGCCAGAGGAAGTCCTGAAACATAAGAACATATATTTATATATTAATAAATGTCCCCCACTCTAACATCCAATCAAAATAAAGGTAGAGAGTGGTCTATCAGAGAAATGAGGATGTGGGGGTAAGAGTATCAGGTTCTCAAATGACAATAATATTTGAAATAACATATCTTGGTATTTCTAAACATTTTCTTCAGGTTGGTAGGTATAGGTTGTAAAAAGATTCATGCAGCACAACCAATAAGTATTTATAACAAGAGGCCCAATGGGCCTGCATCGCTCATCTAGTATTAATCTCACAATTGTAACCTTAAAAGTGGACTAAAATAAAGCTACAGGCAAAATATTAGTGACTTGACTTCAGAAGAACCTGTTAAACGATTAAAACACATTTGACCCCTGTGACCTTGAAAGTCAAACATGGACATTTAAAGTTGAACAAACTTCATAGCCCTTTCTACCAGAATGCAACTTGCCAAATATCACCACCTTATACCTTTTGTTTATTGAGAAGATGACTTTTAAAGATTTATGCACTATGGACCAGATGTGACAATGAAAGTGTGTCAAGGTCAATTCAGAAGAAGTCGTTTAAAGATTTCAACATATTTGACCCCTGTGACCTTGAATATGGGCAAAAGTCAGTAATTTGAACAAACTTCGTAGCCCTTCATGCCAACATCATTCTGGCCAAATATCATCACCCTAGACCTTTTGGTTATACAAAAGAAGTTGTTTAAAGGTTTTCAAGACAATTGACCCTGTGACCTTGAGTATGGACGAAGTTCATTCATTTGAACAGACTTCGTAGCCCTTCATGCCAACATCCTTCTGGCCAAATATCATCATCCTGGACCTTTTGGTTATACAGAAGAAGTCGTTTAAAGAGTTTTAAGACAATTGACCCCTTTGACCTTGAATATGAGTGAAGGTCATTTGTTTGAACAAACTTGGTAGCCCTTTATCCAAGCATGCTACTGGCTCAATAAATAACACCCTAGACATTTTAGTTATTTAGAAGAAATTGTTTAAAAGTTTCAACATATTTGACCCCTGTGACCTTGAAAATGGGCAAAGGTCATTCATTTGAACAAACTTGGTAGCCCTTCATCCCAGCATGCCACTGGCCAAATATCATTAGCCTGGGCCTCTTGGTTATTCAGAAGAAGTTGCTTAAGTAA